CGGCTCCCGACCTCGATGCCTGGACGGCCTCGGACAGCGGCTTGCCGGCGCCCAGGGCGCGGCAGAAGGGGTCGAGCGCGTCCACCAGCGTCCTGTCGCCGGGGCGGGCGGGCGTGTAGCGGCCCAGGTTCTCGAGCGCACCGAGCGCCGCCTGTCCCCACACCTTGGCGTCGGCCTTGGTGCCGGCCGGGTTGCTGAGCAGCGTCTGCACCAGGCCGGCAAAGAAGAGGGCGTAGATGGCGCCCGAGGTACCGCCCATGGCCGACTCGAGGACCTCGCCAATGGCAATCAGGGTGCCGGCAGCCGTGTCGAGCGGGATCTGGCCGGCGTCGAGCGCCTTCTTAACAGCCGTGCCTGCCTGGGCCAGCGTCTCGCCGCAGTCGCCGTCACCGACAATGGTATCAAACTTGGTGAGCTCCGGCTCGATCTCGACGGTGGCGGCGCAGGCGGCCGAGATGCCCTTCCTGACGAGCTCCGGGTCCGGATTGACGGGGCCGCCAATGTTGCCGCTGGCCTCGTGCAGCCCGCTGACGGAGCCGCCGGCCTTCTTGACGGCGGCCAGACGGTCGTGGGCCTCCTGCTCCTCGGCCTTGCGGTCGCGCGGCTTGCCCGACGCCGAGCCCCAGCCGGTCTGGACTCCCGCCCAGGAGAAGGCGTCGGTGGGGGCGTCGAGCAGCTCGAGGAGGCTGTGACCCGTGTTCTTCTCGAAGCGCTTCTGATTGACGAGCGAGACGCCAAAGCCGGGCGCGTTGAGCGAAGTCATGTAGGCCGAGCAGTAGACGCGCGACGGATGCAGGTTCCACTTGGACTCGAGCAGGCTGAGGGTGACGTCGGTGATGGCGTTCATCTCGAGGTTGCTCATGCCGCCGAGGTTGTTGATGAAGACGACGGGGGCGTCGTCCTTGTCAAAGGGCGTGTAGGCGCGGTCCGCGTCGTTGGGGTCGAGGAGGAAGTCGAGCATCTCGCCAATCAGGACGTCGGGCTCGGGCTTCTTGTCCATGTGCTTGAAGCCGGGCTCGTTGTGGATGCCCATGCCGAGCTCGGCGGCGTCGGCAGCCAGCGCGCCACGCTCCTCGTCGCCCTTGGGTCGGCCGGGGACGTGGCAGTGGTCGAGCGAGGTGCCGACGGCGACCATGTTGTCCATCAGGTGCTTGCCCAGGTCGGCAATCGTCTTGACATCGAGGCCCTTTTCGGCGGCGGCACCCAGCACCTTGCAGGTAAAGATGTTGCCCGCCAGGCCACGGCGCCCGACCAGGCCGCCACGCTTGCGTCCGACGGCCACGTCGTCGGCCACGTTGACGGTCTCGACGCCGCCCTTCTTGCTGGGGTGGCCGGAGCGGGCAGCGCGGGCCTTTTCGGCGGCGAGGCCAAAGTGGAGGCAGTCGCCGGTGTAGTTGTTGACGACCATGATGACGCCGGCGTCGTTGTTGATCAGGTCGATGCCCGAGCAGATCTGTGCGGCCGAGGGCGAGGCAAAGATGTCGCCCGAGATGCAGGCGGCGAGCATGCCCTTGCCGATGAAGCCGCCGTGGGCGGGCTCGTGGCCGGCGCCGCCGCCCGAGATGACGGCGACCTTGCTGTTGGGGTGGCTGGGGTTGTAGACGACCTTGTGGGGTGCGTAGCTGCGTTTAGAGGACGGAAACAGAGGTTGGGGCAGGCGGTTAGCGCTCTGAGGCTCTCTTTCGGTGTCAAAGCCCATTCGGCGAAAAGCGGAGCCTCGAGGTCGCCCTGGAAGATCATGCAGGGCTGCTCGACGGACTGGTGCGTAGCGTGCAGCAGGGACCGCAGATTCTCCTGCCGTCGTCGCACAGGACTCTAGTGGAGGGGAAGGCAGGCCCTGAGGACCGGTGCTACTCACTATCGGAGGCCAGGGTGGAGTGCGACGGCGCCTCGAAGGTTCTTCTCGACGAGGCCGACGGGGTCGTCAAAGACGTGCTTGGTCGCCATGGCGGGGGATCAAATGCGGGAGCGGGGGGAGTGGTCAAGAAGCCCGAGCGAGCGAGCGAGAGAGCGAAGAAGGGATGGATGCGCGGAAGGGGGCTGTCTCTGCCTGTGGATCGCGGATGCTGGTGAAGAGACGGAGAGTGCGAGCGGTAACGTTGGGTGGCAAAGAGACGAGAAGGACAGGTGTGGATGCAGAGGGCGGTGGATGGAGAGGTGGCCGCCCTTATGTACCCCACGCTCGCCACGGCTGGGGTCGAGAGCGGGAGACGCCGACGAGTCGAACTGCCTGGCCATCGACGACGGGAACGGGCTGGGCCCAGGCTGGGGCTGGCCTGTGTGTCTGGGCCCGAGCGAGCCAGAGAGCCTGAGTCAAAGCCAGGCCAAGCAAGCAGATCAGAGAGGCCGGACGGCGACGACGACAAACGACGCACCGCCTGGCGGGCTGGCCGACTTGACTGGCTGACGGCCAGCCTGCCAGTCTGGCTGCCTGGCCGGCTGCATGCATGGCCCGAGCTCGCTGGCTGGCTCGCTGCGTCGCCCGCCCGCCTGCCCGCTCGGCCTCTAAAATCCAAATGGCGGGGCCCGCCTGAAATTCGGATTTTTTTTGCGGGGTGGTCCCGACGTTCGGCACTTCCGCCAGCCAGCCAGCCAGCCAGTCGGCGGGCAGCAAGGGAAGAAAATCGCGAGCCCGCCGCTGGCCTCTCTGCCTGCCTCCCCGCCCCAAGCTTGCCCGTCTCCCACGCTCCCACCATCCTCTCCCACCAACGTCCAGAGCGGAGACTGGCCACGGCCGTACTTCAGGTCCTCTGCACTTTGGCGGACAGAGAGTGGCTCATGAGCAAGAGGGCAAGGGGATGCATGCGCCTTTGAAAAAGACGGACGACCGGGTCGGGTGGCGATCAAGAAGAAGATACAGGCAGGTACGCACGGAAAAGCCGATGCATATGGATAGAGCGGCAACCTAACCTGGCCAGGCGAGCGCAGCAACTACTGAAGCTAAAGGCGGGCGTCGCTCGACGAAGCAGGGAGAGAGGCAACGTCGAGTGCGGGGAACCGACTGCGTGCCCGCCTGACTCGAGGCCAGCTAGGTGGCTCACCTTGCACGCCGACCAATCAGGTACAGGCCGGCAGGCCGTGCGAAGTCTTCCCTGCCTTGCTTGCGTTTGCCACCCGAGACAGCGATAGAGAGATATCGGGCCCGGCAACCAGCAAGCAAGCAAGCAAGCAAGCAGCAGACTGGCCTGGGGCTGGCTGAAGGTCGATGCTTGGCAGGCTGCCTAGGGAGCCAGCAGGGGCGGGCCGGGGCGAGCGAGAAGCAAAGGCCAGGCAGGCCTTGCTGGCCCCGCGGCTGCATGCCAAAGTGCTCTCGGCGATTTCTTTGGCCTGGTGCATCGCCTGAGGCTGGCTGGCGCTTTGGTCTCTTTTCTTTTTTTGCCACACCGCCAGCTGGTTGGCTGGGCGGGCAGCGGGCGTGATCCGGCGACTTTGGCCTCCGTGCCGAGTACGTCTTGTCTGCAGATGGCTCGCGGCGCGGGGCTGCCTCAATCTGGCTCGACCCGCTGCCCGGCGTTAGCTTCGTTTTTCGGAGCCGTGCTTCCGGTCGCCAACGCCCGGGATCGGGCGCCGGGCAGAGGAGATGCAGATCAAGCAACCTCCACTTTGCTTCATTATTTGGCTTTGCTCGCGCTCGTGCTGCTTCCGTTTGGCTGCGTCGGCGCTTGGAGCGTTGGCGCCCCACCCAAGCAGGAGCACGAGCTTATTACGGGTTAGCTCCGGCGGGTTGCGATGCGTTTGGTTGCGTTGGTCTTGCCTGTCGCCGGCCCGGTGACGCGCATGCTTGCTTGCATGCAGCCCACCGCCTGCCAACTCGGAGACTTCTGGCGGGCTTGGTCCTCGTCGTCTGGCCTGTCCACCCGACCATCACCACCACAGCCTGCCCCCCTTGCTGCGTTGCTGCCCTCGCCAGCAACACATAAAGAGCCAGTCTTCGCCCTTTCGACCTTTCTCGTCCGCCATTCCTCACCCCAACTCATCGCCTGCCTTTTCCCCTCTGCACCCAATCACGACCGCCGCCGCCATGCCGTCGATCCCCACTTTCAAGCTCAACACGGGCCACTCGATCCCCGCCATCGGCATGGGCTGCTGGATGGGCCAGCCGGGCGCCGGCCTGGACCAGGAGATCCTCAGCAGCCTCGCAGAGGCCCTTCGCGCCGGCTACCGCCACATTGACACCGCCAACATGTACCAGAACGAGCGCGAGGTCGGCCAGGTCATCCGCGAGTCGGGCATCCCGCGCGAGGAAATCTTCCTCACCACCAAGCTCAACCCCAAGATGTACCACGACGTCGTTGGTGGCTTCGAGGGCAGCCTCCGCGACCTCGGCCTCGACTACGTCGACCTCTACCTTCTGCACTGGCCCCAGGGTATCCGCGCCTCGGACGAGCGCCCCTACGGCGACAAGGAGGGCGACATCGGCCCCACGTTTAACCAGATCTGGGCCGAGATGGAGAAGCTCCTCGAGACGCACAAGGGCAAGGTGCGCGCCATCGGCGTGAGCAACTACATGCCGCGCAACCTCAACAAGCTCCTCAAGACGGCCAAGGTGGTGCCCGCCGTCAACCAGATTGAGAACCACCCGTACCTGCCCGAGGAGGAGCTCGTCGAGCTGTGCCGGGAGCACGGCATCCACGTCACCGCCTACTCGCCCCTCGGCCAGGGCAACTCGCCCTTTTTCAGCGACGCCGACATCAAGGCCATCGCCGAGGCGCACAAGACGACGGTCGCCTCGGTCGTCCTCAGCTGGCTCGTCAAGCGCGGCATCTCGGCCGTGCCCAAGTCGGCCAACAAGGACCGCATGCGCCAGAACCTCTCGCTCGTCGAGCTCTCGGACGCCGAGGTGGAGCGCATCCTCGACATCAGCCGAAACGACCCGCAGCGACACACGCACCTGCTGCCGGGCATCGTCAAGGACGGCAAGATTGGCGGCTGGACGCTCGACCAGCTCGGCTGGGACGTCGGCTTCAACCTGCCGGAGCTCAAGCTGCAGCCGTCGTCCAAGGACCCGGCGGCGTCGTCGGGCAAGGGCGTGCCGCAGGCCATCAAGGACTTCCTCGACCGCTTCTACCGCGTCTCGGACACGCCCGACGTCCACGGCGAGTACGCCGAGCACTTTGTCGACGACGCCAGCCGCCTCCACTTCCAGATCGGGCCCATGGACGCCACCACCTCGCGCGAGGGCATCGTGGCGTGGCGCGAAAACGGCTGGAAGGGCGTCACGCGCCGCAAGCACGTCGTCAACGGCGTCTTTATCAGCCCCGAGCAGCAGAGCGTCATTATGCTCGACGGCACCGTCGAAATGGACAAAGAAGGCAAGACGGTCAAGTTCAACTGGGCCGGCCGCATGGCGTTTGACGATGAGAGCGTCGAGAGGGGCCAGCCGCTCATTGAGACGTACAAGGTCTGGCTCAGCCCGGCGTGAGGGACGGCGGCGTGCAGGGGTATCGGATTATGTCGCTGGTATCTAGAATTCGAGGAGCGGGTCCGAGGGCAGGCTAGCGACTCGGCGTGCGGATCGAGAGGGTGCCCTTTGCGAATGAAAAGTCTTGCAGCGTGCGGAGCACCTTGCCATTCTGGACGAGCTCGATGAGGGGTGGTGCAGCGTCCTGACCTGCGGACTGTCCCTCACCGGCGTCTGGTCGAGACTGGAGACCCAGTGCGAGCCTGCGTGCTGCCCTCCTGACCCTCTCCCGCAGGCCCGGTGGCGAATCGAGGGCGATCCAGAGCGGGTGCGAGTGCATCTCGGAGGGTACCTGGGCGGCGGGCTGCGTTTCCTCGCTCTGTGCGCCGTCGTCGTCGGTGCCGATCGCTTGCGGTGGGCGTAAGATAGCCATCGTCTCTCGCTGTAGTGTCCTCTCTACATCGTCGAGCGTCGAAAGCAGGTCGCCCTTTGCCTTTGCCTTGCCCTTACCATTGCCCTTTGCCTTTGCCTTTGTGTCGGAAGGTGCGGCCTCGTTGTGTCTGCGCTTGGTAGCCGACTGGGATCGTGCCTCGTCGACGATGCACGCTTCGACCCAGTCTTCAATGTCGACCTTGATCTGCCCATGTTGGCCTTCCACCTGCCTCATCAGCCTACTCAGGGTCGTCCCATCACACGCCTCGACGGCGTGCTGGTCAGGTGCCGACCAAAGGGCGACGATCTTGCCCGGTTTGGTGGAGCGACATCGGTCGGAACACGTCTTGATTCCGTCCCAGTTCTTGGCCCACTTGGCACGTGGCGTGATGATGCGTCCGCATGTGATGCAGGGTTTGGGCTGGAGCGAGGAGAGGTCCGGTGTCGGTGGTACCGTCGAGGGTGTTTGGCCGTCGTGGGACGAGGAGGACGAGGTGCGAGCGTGCTGGGCCGCCCGTCTTGCCATGGCGCGTGGCGCTACGAGCCGTTGTGCCGAGCAGCGCAGGGAGTGTGGGACGGTGCGAGCGAGAAGTGGACGCCACGGCATCCGAACGTGTCGCCTGCCTGCCTGCCTTGTTGGGGATGATGTCGGTGGTGGTGTTGGCGGCGGCGGCGAAGCGGTGCGGGTATGGAGAGGCATGCGGGCCCAGCTAAGCTTTGCGGGGGCGATGTCGGAACGCGGGATTTGAGAAATGGCCGATCCCCTCGACATCACGGCCCCGCGCTGCCCACGTCGAGACGAGGATCGATGGCGCTTGGTCGCCGCTGCTAAGGAGGGTGCATACGCTGTCAGACCGACCGACTGACCGACCGACCGACCGACCGACTGGACGACAGACAGACAGACGTGCAGACGAGCAGGTAGGGAGTGACACGGAGCTGCCTTCGTACCGGAGACACCGATGCCGACGACGGCGAAGAGGCTGCGCTGTGCTTTCGGCTCATCCGTCGGCCCCACTAAAAGCTACCGCTTAGCTTTCCCCCGGAAAAACGAGGCGCGCAGGCCAGCCAGCAGGTGACGGCCCCGCGCCAAGTTTTTTCCGTCTTGTTGAGCGCCGCCTCCGGCCCGCAACCGGACTCTGGCAGGGCGGCCCACGGTCAGGCCAGGCCTGGCTGCACGGCAAATCCCCGCGCGGCCCCTTGCGTCGCGCGTCGTGCGCAGTGGGCAGCGGGCTTGCTTGCTTGCTTCTTGGCCCAACCTGCCCGCGGGGCGTGGTATCCGTCGCCGGTGGAAGGAGGCAACAACCAGCCACAACGGGCATGCTGTTGATGCGCGCCGTGGCCTGGATCGCAGAGCAACACGATCCTGGCCCCAATTGGCCGGCCAGCCAGCGCTGACGACGTCGACAAGGAGCGCGCCCGTGGCACAGGCCATGGGTCGGTGTCATGTCATGGACTAGCTCGTGTCATGTCGTCGTCGTCGGTCGGCGGGCGCGAGGCCGGTGGCCGGTGGCCGGCTGGCGCGCTGGCTACGGATGAGCCCGAGGGTCCGTCTCGGCTGGATGCAGGTGACCTCAGAGGCAGGCAGGCCAGGGCCAGGTAGGGAGCCACGTACGGCGGCCCGACTGGCTCCCCCGCCTGCCTGCGCTCGGCCCTGCATCGTCTGTCGAGCCAGCGCCTGGCCCAGCCAGCCACGGCGCCTCAGCCCCGCCAGCCCCGCCAGCCCCGCCAGCCAGCCAGCCTGGGCCAGACGAGAAGCGCTGTCTGCGCTCCTTGGAAAATTCTCGCTCGGGCTCGGCCCCAGGCACACACACGCCACACCTCCTCCCCCTCTGCCTCTCCCTTCGACCACGACCAGCACCACCACCACCATCTCAACTTCCGGTCGCTGCCGGCCCCATCTCCAACCTCAACATACACATAGACACCCCAGCCACGCGCCCGCAATGAGCTTCGCTTCCCGCTACGGCTCCTCGGTCTCGCGCGACTATGCTCTCCTCCAGGGCCACCCCGCATCCTACCACCACTTTGGCGCCCTCTCCAACACGGCCGCACACGATGCTGCCACAGCAAACGGAGACGACGCCTCCTCGTCGTCGGCAAACCAGCTCCACACCGACGGCGACGGCGACGACGACGACCTCGCAAGCCAGTCCCACGACGACTCGTTCTCAAACGCAGTCACCGACGACGACGGCATGAGCAACATCTCGCTCCCGCATCACAACAACCACAGCTCCAACTTCTCCACCCCGGCCTCGCCCACCTTTGCTCGCTCCAACCGCGGCGGCGCACCCGCACCACACCTCCATCCCGCTGCCACCGGCGGCGGCCCCTCCAACGGCATTCGCCGCCCCAGCGTCAACGCCGTACCCGCCCTCGTCGGCATCCCCTCCGAGTACCTCCTCGGCGGCTCCGCCATCCCTCCCCCCGCAACCGCAGACACCGCCTCCCTCGCCCCCTCCTACGCCGACATCGAAGACATCCCCGACGAGACCGACCTCCCAACCCCCATGCCCCACGCACCCACCACCCGCCACGCACACTCCCAGCCCCGCGACTACCTCGACTACTACGGCAACGGCGCCCGCGGCGGCCTCGAGACCAGCTCCCTCCTCTCTGCCACCCGCAGGAACGCTGCGGCCGCAGCGGCACCCGGAGAGAGCGGCTTCTCGGCAAACTACGGCGCCACCTCGCACGACCACGCCGCCAACCAGAGCATGCTCAGCATCTCGGGCGTCGGAACGGGCATCCGCCGCCCCTCGATCAGCGGCGGCAGCATCATCAACGGCGGCCCGGGCGTCAGCGGCTGGGCCACCGCCAGCATCGCGCCCGTGCCCGTCCCCGGAGTCGAGCAGATCGACTCGATCGAGCACGAGCCCCGCGACCACATCGCCTGGCGCGAGGCAAAGGTCGTGACGCAGTATACGATCCCCATCTGGGCCACGCACCTGCTCGAGCTCTCGCTCTCGGTCGCGTCCGTCTTTTCCCTCGGCCACCTCGGCACCCTCGAGCTGGCCGCCGCCTCGCTCTCGAGCATGACGGCCAACGTCTCGGGCTACTCGGTCCTCTCTGGCTTCATCTCGGCGCTCGACACCATCCTCCCCTCGGCCTACACCCAGCAGCCTAAATCGGTCGGCCTGTGGACGCAGCGCATGCTCGTCATCGTCGCCGGCCTGATGCCCCTCATCTGGCTCATCTGGTTCAACGCCGAGCGCGTCCTCATCGGCCTCGGGCAGGATCCGGCGGTGGCCAAGCTGGCCGGCCAGTACCTCTCGATCCTGGCGCTCGGCCTGCCCGGCTACGCCAGCTTCGAGGTGTGCCGACGCTACCTCCAGGCCCAAGGGCTGATGCACGCGCCGACGCTCGTGCTGCTCGTCGTCTCGCCGCTCAACGCGCTGGCAAACTACCTGCTCGTCTGGGGGCCCGAGTCGATCCGCCTCGGCTTCGTCGGCGCTCCCGTCGCCTCGGCCATCTCGATGTGGGTCATGGCCGTCCTCTGCTTTATCCAGTGCGTGCTGGGCCCGCGCACCGCCTGGGACGGCTGGACCAAGGCCGCCTTCCGGTGGTCGGGCATCCGGCCCGTGCTGAGCCTCGGCTTCGCGGGCATGTGCTCGCTCGCGGCCGAATGGTGGGCCTGGGAGATTGTGGGGCTCGTCACGGCCGCGCTGGGCACGACGGCGCTGGCGGCGCAGAGCGTGCTGCTGGTCAGCTCGTCGGTCACCTACCAGCTGCCCTTTGGCGCGTCGGTGGCGGCGGCGGTGCGCATCGGCAACCTGCTCGGCGCCAACCGTCCGCGCGAGGCGCGGATCTCGAGCAACGTCAGCCTCATCCTCTCTCTGGCCATGGGCGGGCTCAACTCGGCGCTGTTCCTCATCTTCCGCCGCCAGTGGGGCTACCTGTTTTCGTCGGACCTCGAGGTGATCCGGCTGGTCGAGCACATCCTGCCCATCCTGGCCATTTTCCAGGTGGCCGATGGCGTGTGCGGCATCGCCGGCGGCGTGCTGCGCGGGACGGGCCGACAGGCGCAGGGCGCCCTGATCAACATGACGGCCTACTACCTCGTCGGCATCCCCATTGGCCTCGTGCTCACGTTTAGCAAGCTCCACATGGGCCTCGAGGGTCTGTGGTGGGGCCTCACCATCGCGCTCCTCTATGGCAGCGTCGGCATCTTTTGGCTCATCCTCCGCACCGACTGGGACCACGAGGTGCGCAAGGTCCAGATGCGCATGAACCTAGACGACCCCGCGCACGGCGCCGCCGCCGCCGCCGCCGCAGCGGGCGCCAAGCAGCACGACGTCGAGGGGGCCCTGCCCGGACTCGCCGGCGGCGCGCCAGCTCCCGCTCCCAACGGCCAGCAGCAGTTCCGGGCGCGCGCCACGTCGATTGCGGGGTCCACCATCGACGAGGCCGACGAGGACGAGCGGTCGCGATGAGCGGTGCGCAGGGGTGACAGTGTCTTGGTGTGCATGCTTCGGTCATAGATGCGATTGCTCTCGTCTCGTTGTTCTTGTTTTTCCACTTTGCATTGCAAGCGGGCGGACGGTCGTCATAGAGCGGCGGCGGCCCTTGCCGAATCGCAGCGTCGCCGGCCCGTCGGCACCTCGCCCCGGCCACCTTCATCCTCGGGCCTCGGAATACACGACATACCGCCGTCCGTCCAATCTGCTCACCCACCCACTCCTCACTCATTGCTGGCTCGACGAGGGCGGCTGAAAGTGCTTCTGCAGGCCAGACCAGGCCCTCCAGTAGTCCTGCTGCAGCTTTCCGCTCTCGCTGATGGCCCACCGGGTCGTGGCGAGCTGGTAGGCCGATTCAAACATGAAGCTCATGCTGCCCTGGCCGACCTTGTGCGGCTGGAGCGGGGCGTTGCTCGCCTTTTCGTAGGTCTCGGTGTCGGGGCCGTGGGCCGAGTTCATGTTGTGCAGCGAAGCGCCGCCGGGCATGAACCCTTCGGCCTTGGCGTCGTAGACGCCCTGGATGTTGCCCATGAACTCGGACATGCAGTTGCGGTGAAAGTAGGGCGGCCGGAACGTGTCCTCGGCCACGAGCCAGCGCGGCGGGAAAATGACAAAGTCGCACACGGCCGTGCCCGCGCTGTCCGAGGGGCAGGTGAGGACGGTGAAGATCGACGGGTCCGGGTGGTCGTAGCTGATGCTGCCGATGGTGTTGTACTTCATCAGGTCGTAGCGGTAGGGGACGTAGTTGCCCGAAAAGGCCACGACGTCGTAGGGCGAGTGGTCCTGCTGGAACTCGTAGAAGCGGCCCATGAACTTGTTGACAATCTGCCACTCGTCGTGCGTGTCCTCGTAGGCGGCGACGGGAGCCTCAAAGTCCTTTGGGTTGGCCAGGCCGTTGGCGCCAATGGGGCCCAGGTCCGGCAGCTCAAAGTGGCCCTTGTAGACCTCGCAGATGTAGCCGCGGGCGGGCCTGTCGGCGGTGGCGTCGTCGGGCAGCTGGACCGAGAACTTGAGCCCGCGCTGCACGACGCAGATGTGGAGCGGGGGCACGTCGAGCTTGCCAAACTCGGTCGTGACGTGGAGCGTGTGCTGCTGGGGCACGATGAGCAGGTCGCCGTCTGAGTTGTAGAAGCTCTTGCGGCCCATGCTCTTGTTGGCGCAGTAGATGTGGATGGCGAGGCCGTCCTTTGTCTGACTCTCGCCGGCGCCGCAGAGGGTCGTGAGGCTATCGACAAAGTCGACACCTTCGGGCGCCTTGACGGCGTCGGTCGACAGCGGGTCCCATCGCAGCTGCTGGGGCGTCACCTCGATGTCCGGGGAAAAGGCGTGGAACGAGGCGAGGACGCGGGGCTGCTGCTTGTAGGGCTTGAAGGGCTGGTGGTTGACCGAGGGCTTGATCTGCGGTCGTGTTGTGTGGGAGGGCGAAGAAGGAGGAGGGCCGCGGGGGCGATGTCAGCGCGCGCTGTATCCCGGCCAGCTGCGTGCATCGATGCGGCTGCTGGCATGGAGGGACGGGGCCATGGCACTCACCCTGTAGAGCCAGCTCCTCTGGTTCTTGTGCCTGGGCGCAGTGAAGGCGGTGCCGCTGATTTGCTCCGCGTAGAGGCCGTGGGGCGCCTTTTGCGGTGCGTTGCCGAGCTTGGGCAAGGAGCCGGGAATGGCCTCGGATTCGAAGTGGTTGCCGAAGCCGTCTGGGGAGGGGCAGTTGGAAGGATGGCCGGTGTTGGTGTGAGCGTTGGTCGTGCGTCGGAATTTGCCTCCATCAGAGGCTGCACTGGGTGCAAGGCGATCCGGGCGGGCGAGACGACTCACTGTTGTACCTGAGCTCAGGCATGGTGGTCGGGCAATGTGAGGAGGTCAGGCGAGGGGTGTGACGGCGTCAAGCGTATGGAACTGGCCAGTGGTGATGGCGATGGTGGTGGTGGTGGCAGGAGCTGCGAGCGGGACAGGGCTCGACGCTGGCTCGCCGAGGGAGGATGGGGGGACAGAGTATTTGTAGCGTCGGCAGCATGCCACACGGGGAGGAGAAGGAGGAGGGGGAGGGGGAGGACGAGGACGAGGTCTCGCCGAGAGGAGAGTGTGGGGGGCCGAAGCGGCGGCGGCTAACCGCGCAAAGTCGGTCCAGACGCGCTTGTCGGGCCTGGCCTGGCCTGGCCTCCCTGGCTTCTCTGCCCGCCAGCCAGGACCCTTTTGGAGTGGGCACGGACCCAACCAAATCAGAATTGAATTTTAGATTTTGGCTGGGCAGGCGTGGCGGCGCCGGGCTTGGCTTGGCTTTTCGCGTAAACGCGGCTATCGAGCCGGGCCCAAACCAGGTCCATCGGGACTCGATCCGAGCGCGGGTTGCCTTTGCTTCACTTGCTTGGTTTGGCTGCCTCGCGGATCGCGCTCCGAAGCGTCACGGTGCCGGCGTATGCTGAGGCTCAATAATAAGCTCAGGTCGGCCAGTCGAGATTGGGTTACAGGGCGAGGATCCCGGCGTGGCAAGCCAGCCAAGCTTAAGCTTGACACCAGGCCGGCCTCGTCGGCCCAAGCTTAAGCTGTTTGTACGGCCGGCCGGCCGGCGACGTTTGTCGTCAGTCGGGGCGGTGGGATTACGAGGCTCCATGGCGGTCACACTTCATCGCATTGCTGCTCTTGAATGCGTTGTGGCTGACTCGCCTCGGACAGGTGTCGACACGATGCTTGCTTGGCTGCTCGACGACATCGAGCCATGGCAGACGGCAATACCGAGGCGTGCTTTTGCCGCTGCACGCTGGTTTAGGCGTGCGGGGTCGGGAGGCAGAAGCAGGTCGTCGGGGTGCAGCCAAGACCAAGCAGGGGGCGCGGCATCAGACGCGCGCCGTGGCCCACAGCCAAGCGAGAGGGCCCGGGTTGCACAGAATCCGAGGAAATCTGGTTTTGCCGCCCACCCGCACAGCACGCCTGCGCCAACTTCCGACGCCGGACAGCGACGTCAGCCGACCGCGGATTGCACCTCGCCTGCCACCCGCGACTCGTCTCGACGCCCAGCATCATTCCGTGTCTGCTTTCTGTGCCACGACGGCCGCACGTCCAAACGACGCTGGCTTGCCATCGGACGCTTCATCGAGCTCGCATGGCCAGGCTTGGTTTTGCCGTCGCCTCCCAGCGGGGCAGCCAGGTCAAAGGTCAGATCGGCGGAGAGGTGACGGCGGCCGGGGCGCTCCATCTGGAGCCGAGTACATACCGGTAGCAAGGCAGACCAAGCATCGAACCCGCAGCACCATGATATGGCAACCGTTCACTCTACCCATCGCCCAAGAGAGGCGTGCGTGCCAAGCCGCGCCCGTCACGCTTCAACGCCGGCCGACACAACAACGGCATCTGCTCCAGCCAACCTCTGCCTCCTGCCCTACCCGCCCCGAGCACACCAACCCGAATCCTTAAATACACAACCGACACAGCCATACTCTACCTCTCTGGACTCTATCTCGTCGTCCCGTGGATCAACTCCTCCGCCGTGCCTTCTCCATCCCCTCCTCGTCGCCCGTGACACATCCCGGCTCGTACCGTCTGCTGCTATTCCACCCCGACTCAGCCCCGTCGAGCTTCCCGTCTCGTCCCTGCACGGTCAGACACGTCCCGCTCTTTCGATAGGCGGCCTCTACCTGGTCAATACCGTTTCCCACGGAGCTCTAGCCAGGACGCAATCTACCTACATAAAGGGAACCCCTCTCACTGTCCTCTCGTTGGCCTCTTCATAGCCCTCGGTTCCATCACGCTCGCCATGTCGTCCCTCCTCGACGCCGTCCAGGCGCGGCTGCCCGAGCCCCTCTCGAGCCTCAGCCCCATCGCCTTCTACACCACCGCCCTCGTCCTCGTCACGCTCGCCGTCGGCCTCTCGTCGAGGCGGGAAAAGATCAAGCTGCCCGGCCCTCGCCCGTGGCCCATCGTCGGCAACCTGCTGCAGGTCGGAGAGGTGAGAGGCTCCGGTACCGCGACCAAAAGTTGCTTGCCATGGACTGGACCGCGACTGACGCCCGGCCCTCGTTGAATGGCCCTCCTTCCTGCCCGCGTGGAATGGCCTCCTTCCTCGCCCCGCTGTCGCCACCCTTCGACGCTCCAGGATGCTGCGCTGACCTACCACGAGTGGTCCAAGATCTACGGCCCCGTATTCAAGGTCACTCTGGGCGAGCGCGAGGTCGTCGTCGTCAACTCGGCCGCCGCCGCCAAGGAGCTGTAGGTCATCTGGCTCCGTGTCCGCTCCTCGCGCGTCCATACCTCTGCCACGCCGACTGACGCCCTACCGCCTGCCCGCGCGTCCCACCAGCTTCAACGACCTCGGCAGCGTCTACATCTCGCGGCCCCTCTTCCACACCTTCCACAAGGTCGTCTCGTCGACGGCCGGCTTCACGATTGGCACGTCGCCGTGGGACGAGTCGTGCAAGCGCAAGCGCAAGGCGGCCGCCACGGCCCTCAACCGCGTGGCGGTGCAGGGCTACGTGCCCATCATCGACATGGAGACCCTCTGCCTGATCGAGGACATCTACAAGGACTCGGACCAGGGTAGGACGGCCATCAACCCGTACGCCTACCTGCAGCGGTTCGCGCTCAACACGTCGCTCGTCGTCAACTACGGCACGCGCCTCGAAAAGGTCGGGGACAAGCTGCTCCAGGAAATCGTCGAGGTCGAGACGTACGTCGCCAACTTCCGCAGCGTCAGCGGCACGCCGAGCGACTACGTGCCCCTGCTGCGCTACCTCCCCTCGTTTGGCGGCGGCGGCGGAGGCGGCGCCACGGCCAGGTTTGCCCAGGAGGTGCGCAAGAGGCGCGACGTCTACATGGATCGGCTGCTCGACGACTGCAAGCGCCACGTCAGGGCCGGCACCGACATCCCGAGCATCACGGGCAACATCCTCAAGGACCCCGAGGCCAAGCTGAGCGATGCCGAGCTCAGCTCCATCTGCCTCTCGATGGTCTCTGCGGGCCTCGACACGCTGGCCAACACCTTTATCTGGTCGGTGGGCTACCTGGCGCAGCACCCAGACATCCAGGACAAGGCCTACCAGGCCATGTATGACGTCTACGGCGGCGCCATCCCGGACTCGACCGAGGAAAAGGTCGAGTACATCACCGCCTTGCACAAGGAGTGCTCGCGCTTCTTTAGCGTGCTCAAGCTCTCGCTGCCGCGCGCCACGCTGGGCGACTCCGAGTACCGCGGCGTCGCCATCCCGGACGGCACCACCGTCTTTCTCAACGCGTGGGCCATCCACCACGACGCCGAGCGCTACGGCGCCGACTACGCCGTCTTTCGGCCCGAACGCTTCCTCGACCCGCGCGAGGCCAACCTGCAGTCGCACTACAGCTTCGGCGCCGGCCGCCGCATGTGCGCCGGCGTCCACCTGGCCAATCGCGAGCTCTACATTGCCTTTTGCAAGCTCATCCACTTTTTCCGCATCCTCCCCTCGGACCGCGACGACGAGCGCGCCTTTGACATCGACCCCGCCACGGCATGCGCCAACCCGCGCGGCCTCAGCAGCACCCCCAAACCCTTCAAGGTCCGCTTTGTCCCGCGCGACGAGGCCGGCATCAGGGCCTGGATCGACGACGAAAAGACAAAGACCGAGGTCAAGCTCGCCAGGAAGGTCGAGTAGCCGGCCATGACCCCCCCCCCCCCCCCCCCCCGGTCCTCTGTATGATAAGGCGTTTGAGAGGCCCGCGCTTTGCGCACGATGAAAATGCCAGCCATTCCCACCGTCGACAACCAGACCACCCCGGCCGACCCACAGCATTACCCTGCACGCCAGCAAATTGAGCGCCTTTTCTTCGTGTGTCTTTCTGATTTCGCGACAAGTCTGACGAGCACCGTTACAGCAGATAGAGAGGATGACGAGCAAGACGGGATCAAAGAGCAAGATGGAGCAAAGAGAGGGAACAGCGGACCTCTGCCGCAGGCCTGCGTTAGAACGCGGCGCCGCGGGCCGAGAGCTGCCTGACCTCGGTGGCGGCGAGGAGGGTGCCGTTGCCGAAGAGCTGCACGCCCTGCGGGGTGCTAGAGCCAGGCGCGACGTACGAGACGTTGTGACCGAGCGAGGCGAGGAAGGCGACGGTCGAGTTGTCGAAGCCGTCAAAATTGGGGATCGTCGGGTCGTCGTACTCGAAGCTGGCGACGTTGGGCGAGAGCTGGTGGTGCCACCGGGGTTTGCGGATCGAAGCTTGCAGGTCGAGGCCGTAGTGGAGCACGTCAAACGCCAGCTGGATGACGGCCGTGATGATCCGAGAGCCTCCGGCCGAGCCCGTAGCGAGGATCAGGCGGCCCGTGTCCTCCTCGATGACAATCAGCGGCGAGATGGACGACAGCGGCCGCTTGCCCGGCCGGATAAAGTTGGCCGCCGTCGGGGCCAGGCCGAAAAAGTTGGCCGAGCCGGGCGAGCTGAAGTCGTCCATCTCGTTGTTGAGGATGACGCCGTGCTCGGTCATGACCTGGCTGCCCCAGAACGTGTTGATGGTGGTGGTGAGCGTGACGGTGAGGCCGTGCTTGTCGACGACGGTGAGCTGCGAGGTGCCAGAGTCGGCGAGGATGGCCGAGCGCGACGGATCGTAGTCGGTCACGTTGGCGAGCACCGACGTGTCGAGGATCTTGTCGCGCTTCTCGCGGGCGTAGTCCGGGCGGAGGTACTCGTGCTGGAGGCGGGTGACGTTGTGGACGAAGGCGGGGTCGCCAAAGGTGGTGCGCTCGCCGTAGGCAAACTTGGTGGCCTCGATGATGCGGTGCGTGGTGAGGTTGACACCCGGCTCGAGCGAGGTGCCGTACTGATCCATGGTCTGGAGCGTCGAGAGGACGGCGTTGCCGCTGCAGGGCGCCACGCCGCTGTAGGCGCGGTACCTTCCGTCGGCGAAGGTGACGTTGTTGGTCTTGCGCCAGATGGCTTCGTAGCCCTCGAGGTCGTCGAGGGTGAGGATGCCCTTGCGTGCCTGCACGGCGTCGACGACGCCCTGGGCCAGGGTGCCCGAGTAGAAGTCGTCGATGCCGTGGTGGGCGATGCGCTTGAGGGCGTGGGCATAGCGGGTGCGCCTGACGCGCTCGCCCTTGCGCTTGACGACGCCGTCCGGGCAGTAGGCCTCCTTCCAGACTGGGTCGGCGCAGAGGAAGGGGTAGGCCTTGGGGTCGAGGGCCTTGCTGAGCTGGTCGGTGACGAGGAAGCCCCTCGTGTTGAGCTCGATGGCGGGTTCGAAGAGCTGCTTCCAGGGCAGCTTGCCGTAGCGGTCGTGGAGGGCCTTCCAGGCCTTGAGCTCTCCCGGCACGCCGACGGCGAGGCCGCCGATGAGGCTGGCGTTCTTGTCCGGGTTGTCGACAAACATGCGCTCGTAGCCGGCGGCGGGCATCGTCTCCCTGAAGTCGATCATGTCGACGTGCCTGGGGCTGCGCACGTCGCGGACGATGCCGAAACCGCCGCCGCCGATGCCCGAGTGGAAGGCGGCAATGGAGCCGACGCAGAGCGAGGCGGCGATGACGGCGTCTGCGGCGGATCCGCCGCGCTCGAGGGTGAGTGCGCCAATGTTGGAGCACACGTCGACCTCGGTGGCCACTGCGCCGTGGGTGCCCGTGACCGAGAAGATGGGTGTCGAGTTCTGGGACGCGGCATGGTAGAAGGGCGCCCCGTGGATGGGCGAGGCCGAGGCGCTCTGGAGGGGCGAGGAGAGCGAGAGGGCGACGACCAGGAGCGAGGAAGTGAGACGGAGCATCGTGACGAGGGTGCCGCGCCGCCGGCGATGGCCAAGGGGGAGGGGAGAGGGGAGAAGGGAGGGGGTCAGGAGGAGCGAAAGGCGACTTGCAAAGGGGCAAGGAACGAGACGAAACAGGAGGAGGAGGAGGAGGAGGAGGAGGAGGAGGAGGAGGAGGAGGATGGCAGACGTTGACGGCGATCAGGTAGAAGGACGCTAACTAGGACTACTAGATATACGATCTGATCTCGGCTGGTCAGCCAGGGATCTGCGCTACGGGGGGGCACCCAGCGGAATGAAGGGCGGGGCGGATGTTTGCGCCAACCCCCACACTTTCTTCTGTACTGTACAGGACCGGGTAGGACGACGCTGCGGGGGCCGCGCGCGCTACGATATCGATGCCCGCCGAGATGCGCGAGCACGACATGGCGGCCTCGTCTGAGGGGAGAAAAGTGCCGATGCCGGCGGGTCGCGGACCGGCCTATACCCCACGATAGGCCAGGTAGGCCTGGCATCACGCATGGTCGTCTGGCGATGCGCCCGTCGCTAGCCAGGCCGGGCCAGATGAGCCTATCGCCAGGCCCGCTTCGCCGGCGAAATCAACGCAGAGTAACGTTACAGTACGCTGCCCGCCGTCTGGCCAGCGGCTCGCCCTGGCTTCGGAAGGATCATCAAGAGGCTAGGCTAGGTAACTGTAGGCCGGCACGACATCCGACCTGGTCTCGGGCCCCAGGCCAACGCACGCTGCTTGGTCTCGTGGGCAAAGTTGAGAGCGACTCGCTAGCCGAAAGCGTGCGTGCGTGCGTGCGTGGGCCTCGAATCCAGCCGGGCCGTCTGCATCGCTACGGTTGCTGGGGTCGGCCAACCGCTCGGTCCACGGTTGGGGACAAGCAAGCAAGGTGTGTCCGGTACGGTGCCATCACGCTATCTATATCTCTACGTGTGACCATGGCATGCACCTGTCGGCGAATTACGCGGGACACGACCATGCATGGAACGATTTGAACCGCAGCCTGCCTGCCTGCTCGCTGGCTGAGCTGCTGGCTTCTTACTTCTTGCCTGCCCACGCGACCGAGCCTGGACCGACGCCGCCAGTCGACCCGCCCGATAGAGTCACCGCTCCCCCATCGAGCACACACGATGGCCATGTCATGGAATGCTTTCGTCGATGCTGATACAACAGGGCGGGCCAAGGCCAAGGATGAGCGAAAGGGACATCGAGGGAGCTGGCGATCCACCTCTGCCAACGTCGCTCGCTCGCTAGAGCCCCCTTCGAGGCGGGCCCAGTCGAGCGACACGCACGCCGCGCCTCTCAGTTCCTGTCGAAGCGGTAGCGCACCCGCTCCGCAGCCAGGTAGAAGAGCTGCGGCTTCTTCTTGACCTGCCTCTGGCTGCCCGCCGCCAGGCTGCCGCCCTTCATCTGGTCCACCTGCTCCCCGACCTCGGCCGCCAGCCTGCCACCCTGCATCTCCTCGGGCAGCACCGTAAAGCCCAGCGGCCCGCACTCGCAGTCCGGGCACAGCAGGTACTTGACCGTCACCTCCTCGCCCGGCGTCAGCCCCAGGCTCAGGTGCGCCAGCAGCGACGACACGTCCTCGTCCGAACGGCTGCTCTCGTCCGACCCGCTGTTGCCCCGCTGCCGCTGCTGCTTCCGCCTCTCCTTTTCCCGCGCCTTGTCCTCCTTGCGCCGCTCCTTTTCCTCGCGCTTCTCGCGCGCCCTGGCCTCCTTGTCCTGCACCTTGGCCTCCGACGTCGGGCTCGGCGACGATGGCGTCGGCGCCGTCCACTTGAGGTCGCGAGAGAAGCCCACATTGTCAAACTGCAGCGGGCCCGCCACCGTCCAGAAGCCCTTGACGCTCGTCAGCAGCCGCGTCCCACCCGACGAGGCGCCCTGCACCGGGAACGCCGGCCCCTGCGGCGGCGCAGGCGAGTTGGGCAGCTCGAGCGCCGGGTTCGACAGCGGTCCGCTCTCCTTGCGGGTGTACTCGCCCGCCCCCTTGCCAAGGATGCAGCACCGGCAGTTCTCCATGGGGCAGTACAGCCGCGCCAGGTTGGTGCCCGTCTCGCGGTCCACCAGCCGTGCCTCGAGCGCCATGCCCGCGTCCTCGGACGCCGTCTTGCCCGCGAGCGCCTGGCCCAGGATCGACGTGTACGTGACGCCGGGGCTCTTGCCCGGCTGCGACTGCGCAGCGAGCGCCGCCATGATCGAGGCCTGCGACGGCATGCCGGGCGGCGTCTCTGGCTTCTCGGGCGCGGCCGACTTGGCGGTGACGGCCGTCGTCGGGGTCGCCGAGGCATCGCCCGACGGCGTTCCGAGGTCAGACTTGTCCGTCTCCTGGGTCGGCGTCTGCGTAGCGGTGGCGTCCTCGGAGGCCGTCGCGGGTCTCGACGACGCCGATGCTGCCGAAGAGGCCGAGCCCGATGCCGAATCGGTCTGCGATGCCGAAGCAGATCTCCCTCTCTCGCGCTCGGGTGCCGTAAAGGCAAACTGTGGCGAGGTGAGGGCGGTGGGCGACGAGACCATGCGGTCATCGCCGCCGCCGCTCGAGGCGCTCGAGAAGGTGCGCGTGAGGGCGTTGGCGTCGCCCGTCTTGGCTCCGGGCATCGTCACGGGCGCGCTGAGGCTGCGCCGCATCTCGAGCCACTGTCCGCTGCCGTACTGGATGTGGCTGACGCACTGTACCTTGAAGCCGACCTTGATGTAGAGCTCGGTGAGCTCCTCGTGGGCGAGCAGCGCCAGCGTCTCGTAGCCCCTCTTGCCCTTGGCGCCCTCGGGGCCCTTGCCGTCCTCGGCGCGCTTGAGGCGGGAGATGTAGTTTTCGAGCATGCGCGTGGCGAGGCCCTTGCGCTGATAGTCGGGCGACACGCAGACGCTGTGGATGCAGACCATATGGGCGTCGGCGGAAGAGTCGTGCGTCGACATGGACCGCAGCGTGAGGGCGGTGGCCGCGGTGCCGCACACAAAGGCGACCATCTTGCGGCGCGAGGGTCCGCCAACGGTCAGCGGTCCGGCCACCTTGGGCGGAGGCAGGGGCAGATAGGCGCCGAGAAAGAGGTGGGGAGCCGCCCGTTGCCGGCCGATGAGCTTTTCGTACGAGGCGGCATCCTCTGGCGGGTAGCCCTGGACCTCGAGCTGGTGGGCTGCGCGGACCTCTTCGGGGCGGACGTAGTCGAAGACGAGGTTGCGCGGCAGCGCCGAGGGCTTTGGGGGCGCCGACGACGACGACGACTGGCTGAGGGTTCGCGCGGCCATGTGCGACGACGACGACGAGCTGCTGGGCGAGCCGGCCTGGTTGCTGGAAGCGGCAGAGTTGGACGAGTTGGAGCGGTTGACCTTGCCAAAGGTGTTGCTGATGGTCTGGTACAGCGAGATGGACTGGTGCGCCATCTGGCTCGGCGGAGGATGCATGGTGGGCGAGAGATAGGGAGGACAGGCGATGGCGATGGCGATGGCGATGGCGATGGCGATGGCGATGGCGATGGCGATGGCGATGGCGATGGAAGGGCCTGGCTCGAGGTAGGTATTTTCGGCAGGTGCCCGGCAACGCTCCAATCAGGTGGCTCGGGTTGGCTGCTGCCTGCTGCAGGCTCGATGCAGCCGTGCGGCAGGGCGGAAAGGCGGGGTGCAGAGGGGATCGCCTAGGGCAGTCTGTCCGTGGTTGGTCGTTATCAACGCAACGTCTTCGTCGTCGTCGTCGTCGTCGTCGTCGTCGTCGTGGCAGTCGTACCAGGTTGGAACGATCCTGTTTCCTCTGTGATGCCGTTCCTCGTCGTGGATGAAGTGGCTTGGGGTGTGGGCACAGCTGGCGGGCCTGCTGTTGATGCCTGGACGGATCAGAGCGAGAGCGGTGGCAGCATCAAAAGGAGAATCGTCGTCGGTGTCGTACAGGCGGGGGGCCAACTTTGATTTTGCGATGGGGGCGATCGCAGGACGGGGCGAAGGGCCGATATCCAGGGTCAGAGTCGGCTTGCTTGCTTGCGTACCGAAGGCGGAGGGGAGGGGGGGCCCGGATGCCAAGGCGATGCGAGGATATACTCGTGGGCGTGTCGGGTTTCCTCACTTGTCGAGGTGGGTGTTCGGAGTGGCAGTAGAGGTCATACGAGAGCGGGCCGGATGTGGTGGTGGTGACCAGGGCCAAGAAACGGTACGAGGAGCGGAGCGGAGCAGAAGCGGTCGATCGGTCGGTCGGTGAGGGGGCGGAGGGAGGACCGAGGTCGAGAGAGAGGACAGAAGAGAGAGGAGAGCAGACCTGCGGCGAAGGCGCCGTTCGAGAGAGATGAGCTGCTGGGGGCACGGGGGAAGGCCAAGGCAGGCAGGGTCGTTGTCGAAGCAACAGGCAGGCTAGGGCCGACGGAGCAGCAGGCAGGCAGCAGGCTGCAGCTGGTCAAGGCCAGAGAGAGGGACAGGCAGGGACAGGCAGGAGGCAGCCTGCCACCCAACGGGGCAACCAGCAGGCAGCCAGGCCAGGGTCATCAGGCGGGCAGAGAGGCGGGGCCTTGACCCGAAGGGCCTCGCGCGGCTGATACGGCGGGGCTGTCCCGAACCGTCCGTCGCCCACCAGCGTGTCCACGCGGTCATCATCATCTCGGCCGCTCTTTCCCCTCTTCGCTTTCTGCCAGCATAGGCCTCTAGCCTCCCTTTCCGATCTCTTCCTGTCTCCCTAGCCTTGACAGGAGAAAGGCAGCAGCCAGCGAGCGAGCGAGCGAGCGAGGCTACGAAGCTACGGACGGCAACAAGCGGCCGGTCATGACCTAGGTCCTGCCTTCTGCTCTCGCTCTCTCTACGCCTCATGAATCGCCGGTGCGCCGCGCCGGCCTGGCTTAGCTTGTGCCACATGATCCAGGCCCTCTCGCGATCTGTCTGTCCTCTCAGCACCACGCCCATGCCCATATCGAGCCGCGCCGTTCCAACGAGCCCCCACCTCGTTGCTTGCTCGTCCCTCTCTCTCGTCGCCGCCAGACTCCGGTCATCCTAGACCGCCGTTGCGACGAGGCGAGGCCAGATCGAGTAGGCAGGCAGGGCTTCTTGCCTTTGCCCCGCCAACAGGCGGCCTAGGCTAGCCGCTCTAAGAAAGCGCGAGCAAGGCGTCAAGCCCTTTGAGCCCGTCTAGGCCCGTTCCAGGTGGCCAGAGATGGAGGGGCGCGGCGCAGTACAGTACCGGTAGCAGGCAGTCAGGCAGGCTACCGGTATCCGCCACCCTTTGGTCCATCACGTCACCTAGAGAGAATGCTGTCTGGTGCTGGCTGGTCTGGCACGGGTGGCGGGCGCGCGCCAAAGACTGGGGCAGAGGGCAGCACAGGCAGCATTTCAGCATGTCACACCCGGCCTGCTCTGGACTATACTGGACTGGACTAGACGGCTTGGTCGGCGGTGAGAAGCGGCCACGGCGGCGGATCTTTCCCGGCTTGGCCAGACTCTAGCGCCATCTATTTCGGTCCGGCGGGCCGAAACCGCTCTCTTTGGCCCGTTTTTGGGATGTCACGATGGGCCAGCGATATGATGGGCCTGCCGAGTCAACGTGCGCCCGCCCATCATCAAGCACGCACCCACGCACCCACGCGCTGGGCTGGCCATCTCGCTCGCTCGCTCGCTCCTCTGCCGGACCGGCGGCCTGGCCTGCCGCCCTCCTTGCGTTTGGACGTTGGACATCTCCCCCGGAGATGGCTGCCCCGCCGACGATGTTCGATCCAAGATGCCGTCCTTGCTTGCTGCTCGAACGTGCCTCGATCGCCTCGTTGCGCGGCACTGACGATGGCGGCCCAGAGTCTGGCCCCAGCTAAGGCCGCCATGCTGCGTTGTGCTGCTTGCCAGCCAGAGGTGAGAGGGTTGTCTCGGAGGAGTTGGTTGCCAAGGCTGCGATCGGGGTTGAGAGACAGGCGGAGCGGGGCGGGGCGCTGCAACGGGGCTTGGCCCTTTGGCTTGGCCTGGCTTGGCTGGCCCAGACCGACGTGCGTGCGCGCTTGGCTGGCCCCAGGCAAGACGACGTCAGATGCATATGCATGGTGGGCGCCGCAACCTGCTCGGCACCGGCGTCACCCCCGGCCTAGCCTAGCCTGCTGGCTCTGCACCGCCTTTGCTTTCGGCCGCCGCGTTCGGCGGCGTTGCCAGTCGATGTGGAGGTGAGGGGCCGTCGTTTCTTCCAGGCTCGAACGGCCCGGTCCCGCTGGTTGGCACATACAGCCTGCTTGACGCTCGCTGCTCACCAACACCACCTCCATCACCACCGCCACCGCTCAACGGTCTACAATCGCACCATGAAGAAGGTGAGCAGGCAACAGTCGCGACTGTGAAACGCGCCCGCGGGCGAGCTACCGTGGCACCGCTCCGCCGTGACTGACCCGCCCCACCCCGTGTCTCCTCTCCCCGCTCCAGTTTATCGGCAAGGTCCAGGAGGGCATCGACAAGCTCGACCTCGACAAAAAGGCAGGCGGCCTCACAGGCGGCCCCTCGTCGTCGTCGTCGCCGCCGTCGTCGGCAGCCGCGCCCGCGTCGCTCACTTCGATCAACGCGCCCCCCTCGCAGCGCGACATCTACCTCCACCGCAAGCAGAGGGGCGTCAACCTCGGCAGCTGGTTCTCGCTCGAATCCTGGCTCACCCCTTCCCTCTTCCAAAAGGCGAAAGACCCCAAGGGCAGCGAGCTCGACGTCGTGCGCGGCATGGACGCCGCAGAGGCAAAGTCGATGCTCGAGGCGCACTGGGACAACTTCGTCAACGACGGCGACTGGCGCTGGATGGTCGACCACGGCGTCAACACCGTCCGCATCCCCGTCGCCTACTTCCACTTCCTCGCCGGCCACCCGGACCCCGCCGTGCGCTCCCTCCTCAAGGGCACCGACTTCGACAAGCACGCCTCGGTCTACGAGGGCGCCCTGCCGCGCATCCACAACGCCATCGAAAAGGCAAAGCAGCACCGCATCGGCGTCCTCATCGACCTCCACGGCGCGCCCGGCGCCCAAAACACCGACGGCCACTCGGGCGTCAGCACGGGCAAGGCCGCCCTTTGGGACTCGAGCAGCGACGTGAAAAAGACGGTCCAGATCCTCGTCGCGATGGCGACCGAGTACGCCAGGTACGAAAACGTCGTCGGCCTCGAGCTGCTCAACGAGCCCAAAAACACCAACAAGCTCCAATCCTTTTACCAGGACGCCATCGCCAGGATCCGCGCCGCGTCCAGCGAAGCCGCCGCGCTGCCCCTCTACCTCGGCGACGCGTGGGACACCAACCACTATACCGGCTTTGTCGGGCAGCAGGCGGGCGCGGGCAACTTCTTGGTGGCCGACTACCACCTCTACCGCTGCTTTACGCCGCAGGACCACTCGATCCGGTGCGAGGAGCACGCGGCCAAGGTGCACCCGGGCAGCAGCCCGCGCCGCCACGACCGCGGCGACTGCGGCGACACGGCCGGCTGGCTGCAGTCGATGTCGCACCGGTGCGGCCACTCGCTCATCGTGGGCGAGTGGAGCGCCGCCCTCAACCCGGGCTCGCTCGGCCACCTGGGCTCGCCCGAGGAAAAGAAGCGCGCCAAGACGGCGTGGGCGCACAACCAGTGGCTCTCCTACGACAAGTTCTGCGCCGGCTACTTTTTCTGGACGCTCAAAAAGGAGGGCGGGCCGGACACGGGCTGGTGCTTTTACACGGCCGTCGAGCGCGGGGTGCTGCCGCCGCACCTCGACCCGCACCGCGGTCGGCGTCGGTCGCCGGCCGACATGGAGGCGCAGATGGCGGGGGCGCAGCAGCAGGCGTCGGCGGGCCACGAGGCCTACTGGAACAAGCAGGGCGACGCGTCCAAGTACGAGCACTGGCGCTTTGCAGAGGGCTTCGCCACGGCATGGAGGGACGCCGTCGAGTTTGCAAAGCAGAGCGCCGACAACGAGATCGGCTTCGATGGGCAGTGGAAAAAGGACAGGGTCGAGGCGCACCGTCGGGAAAAGGGCCAGGGCAGCAAGATGGTGTGGCAGTTTGAGCACGGCTTCGATCAGGGCCTCGCCGCTTTCAACGCCGCCCTCGTCGCTTCGTAGGCGTCTGTCTGAATCGAAAACGCTGCACGGTGCCTCCCAGCTCTGTCTCCCAGCTCTGTCTCTCAGCTCTCTCCCAGCTCTCTCCCAGCTCTCTCCCAGCTCTCTCCCAGC